TATTAGTCTTCCCTGAAGCATATGTCAGTATTTGATAACTCTTCTGTCTTCCTCGGCTCATTCTTTAATGCCTTTTCTTCCTTATCTGACTTCCTGCTGTCACACCTGTGTTTTAATTGAAGATGCATGACTGTTGGAAGCTGTTGGGTGTTTTTGAAGTGTAGGAACTGTTCATTTGGCGCTGATGTAAAAAAAAATCTAACACTTGATTTTTTTGTTTGTTTGTTTGTAGCAGAAAATTAATTGAAACAAACTTTATTTTTGTAGTTTTTAGATATCAAATGCCAAACAATCATCATCTCGAGTGTTAAATTCTGTAGAAATGAAAATGTAAATAATCTAGTTCCAAATTAACAATAACATATATAGATCCCAAAGTAATGCAAATGCTAAAGGCAGAGTCCCACGGACTGTGCCTTTATCTTTGGGTAATACTTTCAGGCCTCATTTAGATGCTTTGTTTAGCCATCTCCAAGAAATATATTATTAAACTTGTTTTGAACTCATTTTAGACTACTCTTGTCACTCTAAGAGGCTCTTGCAGACTTGAGGACTTTTTGAAGATGCTGTTTGACTGCAGATATCGCAATAAAGAAGTTTTGCTTGTTAGGTCTCCAGGACTGGGTTCTCATTGTTTAAACCATTCAAAAATGGTAAATTCAATAAAAGAAATTATGCAAACACGATTATAAAATTGATTGTTTTTTTTTTACCAACGACAGCTTAAGTTTAAGGATATAGAAATAAAGTTCAATCAATTTGTGTAATTCTGACTATATATGATTTTTTTTATTTTTGGCCTTTGTTAGATAGGACAGTATTTATACAGGAAGCGAAGTTGGAGAGAGGTGGGGGTAGGGAAATGTCCTCGAGCCGGGATTCGATCTCGGGACGCCCTGACGTGCTACTGCACCATATGTCGATGTGCTAACCACTAGGCTATTGCGACGTCTAATATATCAATAAATTGTTATTATGTCATAACTGATGTTCAGTGAAAACATTTTTCATAATCACTCGTTTGATAAATTCAAGTTAATAAAGTTGTATCAGTCAGATAATTAAAAAAGATTTGTGTGCGTGTGCGTGTGCGTGTGTGTGTGTGTATGTGTGTGTGTGTGTGTGTGTGTGTGTGTGTGAGTGTGATTTTTTTTAAGTGCTTAACTGAGTGTACAGTACAAAATATCAAAATTTAATGACCAACCAAACATCATCCCTATCTTGAAGCAATTTCTAATATAAATCCAAAAATACAGAATGTGACTTATTTTAGAGGGAAATAAGAGTGATATGGTTATTTTAGAGTGATATTCAGTGAGAAAAATAAATGGAGACCTGAGAGATGACTCTGTTGTGTGACGTAGTTAATTGTGGAGATTTAATGTTGTAATGTTCTGTGCTGCGGTTTATCTGGGACAGGGGTCCAAAACTTGGTCCTGGAGGGCCGGTGACCTGCATGTTTTAGTTCCAACCCCGATTAAACACACCTGAACCAGCTAATGAAGCTATTTCTAGGTATACTAGAAACTTCCAGGCAGGTGTGTTAAGGAAAATTGGAGCTAAACTATGCAGGACACTGGCCCTTGAGTTTGGACACCCCTGGTCTAAGAAAAAGCTCATGCAAGCATAGAAATAGGTGGTCTGAATTTGTGAATGAAGGAGTTTGTTTCTGATTCTGGTGAGCTTGTTAGCTTAAAGACTGATGCTTTTATTTAATGTCTCCACTAAGCATGCTGGGCCGGATGTTGCTCCTGTGTAGATGGGGGAAATTCAGACAACTAAAGAGATGTGTGAAAAAGCTTTATGTCTTGAGTCAGAGCTAAATGAAAGTCCATCAGCATTCAACATGTCCACTGATTTAATTTAACATGCTGTTAAAGCAGTCATAAATATACAGCACTGGCTATTTCACAAGATACTGACTGCATCCCAGAACAATTTTAAACGAATGCAGTGTATTTTTCTTCTTTTTTTCATGATTTTATGATTTTTGGAAAAACTATGGTCTCAGTGTTTCCCAACCCTGTTCCTGGAGGCACACCAACAATGAATATCTTGGATGTCTTCCTTTTCTGACCCATTCATTTCAGATTTTGGAGTCTTTATTAATGTTCTGGGGCCGGTTACACCAGCAGTGCGCAAGTTAAAACTAAGTTACAACTTGCACATTACTAAATATTGACTTAGTTTAAATGTAACTCTACGTTCAAATTCAATATTTACGGCAGCCTCCTCCCTGTATAACGGTAGTAAAAAGATGATAGCGAGATTAGTTTACATTGAGGACCTTGCAATTATATTGAAGAATGGTCTTCCTCTACTGAGGGCCTTCATTTCATCCCCAAATCTCCCTTTTTTTTCAGTTTGTGAAAGAAGAGTGTAATTTTCTATCAAGGAGTGTTTTGTGTTAATTGTATCCATCAATTAAAATGAGAATGTCCTCATGATGAGTTTTTCTTCCTGCTCTTTTCTCTTTTATATGTAGGATATAAAAAAAAATCAAGTTTAATGTTTTCATAACTTTGTGTATTCACGATGCAGGTGTTGCCTTTTATTAGTGACTGACTATAATTCAATTTTTAGAGGACAGTTATATATAGATGGATTAGTGGCAGAATTTTAAAACAGTTTAATGATTTAAATGCCTTTATTGGATATTACGTCATTCAATGCGACTTTACTGAGAGCTTATGACCTACTAACTACAGTTTGCCTTAAGTACACAGGGTGCAACCGAAGTGAGAACAGTAGTTACTAAGCCACTAGTGAGAACTTTAAATTCCAGTTTAAGAAAGAACTTACAGTATGAACAGCTGATGCAACCCTACCCAGATGAGTTGATTTGAGGTGTGTTTGATTAGTAATAGTTTGAAAGGTGTTGTGCTGGTGTACCTCCAAAAACAGGATTCAGAAACGTGTATAGATAAATAAAGATGACTTTTTGCAATATTGTTTATGAATTAATATGAAAAGTTTCAAATTTCATTGAAAGGAAGGAAGGCATCAATTATGATATGCTAACATGATTGTGAAATGTATTACTGTGGTCAGTGATACTGTCTTTCTTATGCCTAATGATGTAGTAATAAAAGTAGAAAAGTAGATACATTTGCTTAAATATGAATAACTATTTAAAGTATAGTTTTACAGCCCTGGTTAAATAATATACAGATTAATTTAATAGAAATTAAGAAACTTTGTCTGGCCTGTACTAAGTAACATATGTATACACAAATAAGTAATCATTCTAAAAAATTATTAGATTTAAATAATGACAAACTCGTTTAAAGGGCAGTGTTGATAAAATAGTTTGGAAATAAGCTTTTTTGTATAAAATGTTGTCACACATAATTAGTTTGGTATGCATTATGTATGTAAATCATGCTAAAATGTGCATTTGCCATTATTTTTGCTTAGAATACATTTAATTGAACAGGATATATACAGAAGGGGGGAATATATTAGTAATATCGCATGAGTAGCAGTGCGATATGCTATATCTGCTCTGATGGCAGGTGGGTTTTGACTCGAGGCTGCTGTCCATTCAGAAAGAAAATCAAACATAGAGAGTCTCAAAAACTACTTTCTTCCGCCATTTATTCACATCTGCAGCTGACAGGCAGAACAGCAGAAACTGTTGCCAGTTCACAAACGTCAGTTTAAGGCTAGTATTTGAATGATTCTAAATTGATGACAAAAAAAGTCATTTTTGCTCACATTTTAAGATTATAAGGCTGAACGGCTTGAAATGCCATCAATCTACAGAGATGTCCCAGTATTTCTCTGTTAAAATTGGGATATCACAATAGTTAACCCTAAAAAGCCAACGCAAAGCAAACACTACCAGTTTCTGCTAAAATGCTGCACTTTAAAATGCAAAAGAGAGAGATCGACTCAGAATGTCACTTACCTGATTTATGATTTGTTAAGCTGTAATTTGAAACATACATTGAGAAAACGCTCAGTTTCTCTCCCTCTAAGGACTTATTACACAGTCTCTGTCGCCATCTTGTGGCAGAAACTCTACTGTCACTTACTTAGATCTGTTCAGACATGCTAACGGCGGCCAATGCACTGAATATCCAAAATCATAAATATTTTAAAATAGGCACTATCCTTAGAAATAAACTGCATAGTTGCAATCTAAACAACTACATTCTTGACTAAAAAAGCCTCAAAAAAACTATTTTGTCCAACAGCTGCAATACTGTAGAGTGTAGTGTCCTCTTGTTGCTGTATGTGGGCGGAGTAATACACAATGGTGAAGGGTGAAGAGGCTGTATGAGTGCTGTTATTGGAGAATATCGCACAGCTATCAGCCAATCAGGTTCATAAACCAGACTGAACTGTTGTAAAAGTATATGTACAGTACATATCCTATACATTAATATATTATGCTAAGAAAGAAGAAAAATAGGAGGAAATATTATTTATATTTGTGTTTGAGTGTATATTTACATTCAGACTTGGTGAGGCTGCTCTCTCTCTCTCTTATTGTCTCTTTCACTCTCTCTCTCTTGCATCATCCTCTTGTTCTGACGCTCTGCCTGTGCATGACTGCATGCCGTTTATTACTCTCTCTCTTCTCCTTGGTCTGTCTTTTCCTCACTTTCTTCTTTCTCTCCCTCTTTCTTTTTCTCTCCCCGTCTCTCCAGCAAAACAATAAAAGTCAGGATAATTGATGATGAAGAATACGAGAAGAACAAGAGCTTCTTTCTGGAGATCGGAGACCCTCAGCTCGTAGAGACCGATGAGAAGAGAGGTGGGGGGGGCATGACCTGCACCAGCAGAGGAATACACACTACACACACACATACACTGAACACCAGTCCACCCTCTGCTCTGGATCATCATCAGGATCAACTACAGGCCAAACGACACTGTCAACAGCCCTCCGGCCCCCGCGTGTGTGCTTGTATCTCTGTGTGCGTGCACGTGTGAGTGTGTGTGTTTCATGCATGCATTATTCCAACCCCCCTCCTGTTGTCTTGTTTCTGCAGGAAGACGATAACAGTCAGGGTTCTCAATCGAGAGGAGTACCATAAGCAATGCAGCTTTTTCATAGAGCTTCAGACGCCACTTTGGAGAAGGAGAGGATGGACAGTATACAGAGGTTTCTCTTCCTCTCACAGTGTCTCAGCTTTGCTTTATTTGACTCCTCTTTCCCTCTGGGCAGAGTCTTACCCTCTGTTTCTCTCTGTAACTCCTGGTGTTTCTGTGCTATGTTATTAATCTAATGGTATTCCTTAACTTTCGCTGATCATACAACTATTCACGAGATAACATGCATACATTAAAGTTTTGTTTTATTGTAAGTCATAGAAAAATAACATAATTAAGACTAAGTTTGAAGAGGATAAAGTAAAATAATTTAAATGGAGGTGTTAATGCGAGGTTGGCAGTGAAGTGTGGAAATTAAGGGGGGAAATTAAGCAATGGTCTTGGCAGATCAGAATAATGTTTTGGAATACTTTGGTGGACTCTTGTCTTCAGATATATGTCAATTAATGCAATATAATCTTATCTCATATAATGCAATAATATCTTCTAATTTCAAGAGTAATGGCATCTAACCGTAAAAGGTGTGCGTTATGTTTGAATATGTGCAGTTAAATGTATATTAACATATTAGTGTTCCAAACTGGGAAAATGTAAGTTTGCATACTTCTGGTTGGAGAAAGACGAGTTTAAACAGTGGTAGAAGCCGGTCGCTGAAAACAACCACAATTTATTCTTTCAAGCTCTGTTTCTTCTGAGCTTATCAGAGTTCTGTTGCATGGTTGTGCTCCATTGATTTATTTTACTACAATTGTTTATTAACAACTGTTGATTAAGTTAAAAGTTTGATACTGATAAGAACTTGAAGTGGCGATGAGGTTATAAAATATTCTAAGAAGGTTTTTATAAAGTCTTAAAAAGGTATTGAAATTACCTTTAGGATACCTGCATATACCCTGTATATGTCGGCACACTCAACTATATATTATAATAATATGTTTATTAATATGTTTATTGTAAACACTGCTATTTATTTGTGAGTACATATTTAATATTTTATTTTACATTTTTGTATATTTGTTTATTTAAAATTTTTATACATTTTAGCTTAAATTACAGTAATAAGGTAATATTGTGAAATATTATTCTTGTGACAAATGCAAATTTTCAGCATCATTATTTCAATCCTCAGAGTTAGTTGTGGCTTTCATAAAATATTCTGATATTATTCTGATATGCTGATACAGTATTATAAACATTTTCTGTTATTAATGTTGAAAAAAATGCTTAATACTTTTATTTAAACTGTGATGCATTTTTTTAATTCCCAAAATGTATTTATGATTATAATGTTCAAAAGAGCATAATTTATATGATATAAATATTTCATATGTCTGTCTTTACTGTGCCTTTTGGCAACCTTGATAAAAAAGAAGTATTACTTATTAATGATAAAAGTAATAACTATAGTAAATCCTGAAATCAAGATTTAGAATTGTAGTGCAGTATGCATTGTTTATTTAGCGCACAAATGCTTCAAAACATCAAAGACATTTCGATTTTTAATCATAGGATCCTTTAGTTTATAGTTATAATCATCTCTTATGCAATCTCTGTGTAGTTTACCATATAGGGTTTGTTCAGGATACTCACTGCTTCAGAAAGAAACATTCAAAGTGAACTGTTTAATTTTGTTTCCTTGCAATAATCTCCAAACTAGACACAAAGGAAACGTCCAAACACCAGCAAATGGGTGCAGATGCTGGGCTGTAAATCATGAGGAGAGATTAGGGGAGCTAAAAAAGACTCTGAGCTTGAGATTGTGAGTCGTCTTCAAAGCTAGGCTCGTTCGAGTGTGTTTCATCTCACATTTAGATAAACATTTATTTCTAGGAAGCAGACCAGCTCGCTTTCCCAGCACTTCAGTGTTTTGATGTGTATCAAATGTTTTATATCATATTTATATTTTACTCTTTGATATCAGCTTGGTTTTAGTTAATGCGGTATTTTAACCTCATTAATAAAATAAGAAAATGTACGATAAAAGAGATCCAGAGGTCAAAACACGGAAAATAGTGAATAATTGGAGAGAGAAACATCAGGTGGAGTTGCAGCTGGATTTAGTTATGTATTTTCGGAGAACATGTAACCACTCATTCATACCATTTTAGTCAGTAATTAACAACAACAAAAAATCTGATTAAGCCACTCGGATGTGTGATGAATCATTTTCAAAATAATTAATAATCAATTCCGATGGCTTTTGATTAGCTTTGCTTCTAAGATATTTGAAAGTACCGTGGATGATTCAAAAGCTTCACAAGAGAAAGAAGGTTGTTTATTATCAAATAGACACTAGGGAGAAAAAGGACAGCAAAATAGATGGTTGATGAAAATGAATGAACGGATGACTGAATGGTGTGTGTGCATTCAAGTGTGCGTGCGTGCGTGCGTGCCTGTGTGCGTGCATGCGTGTGTGTGTAATGTGCAGCATACATATGAAAATGATAGCTCTGTTTTCAAGGACAAAACAGGAAGCAAAATCCTCAGGCAATTAAGTAAATATCAGATTTCACATGCACATAAACCTGACTCGCATACGTTCATAATCTTCATACTTATGCTAAATTTGGTTGTCAGTTCACCTTTTAGTACTTCATTGTGTCCTATACACACAGTTTAGTCAACTATAATTACAATGACAACTACATTCAACAACCAAGTGTGGTTTATTTATAAACTAATTTCGAGAGGATCACATGCTTATGATCAACACGACTAGCATCTCTATAAAATGCACATTCAAAAAATGGCTACAGCATTCACGATCATTAAACACACAATGTAAGGTATGTATATATACAGTTGAAGTCAGAATTAATAGCCCCCCTTTGAATTTGTTATTCTTTTTTAAATATTTCACAAATGATGTCTAACAGAGCAAGGACATTGTCACAGTGTGTCTGATAACATTTTTTCTTCTAGAGAAAGTCTTATTTGTTTCATATCCGCTAGAATAAAAGCAGTTTTTAATTTTTTAATCACCATTTTAAGGACAAAATTATTAGCCCCTTTAAGGTAATTTTTTTCCTGATCGTCTACAGAACAAACCACTGTTATACAATAACTTGCCTAATTATCCTAACCTGCCTTAACTTAGGTTAACTTAATAACCTAGTTTAACATTTAAATGTCACTTTAAGCTGTATAGAAGTGTCTTTAGAAATATCTAGTCAAAAATTATTTACTCTCATCATGGCAAAGATAAAATAAATCAGTTATTAGAGATGAGTTATTAAAACTATTATGTTAACAAATGTGTTGAAAAAAATCTCTCAGTTAAACAGAAATTGGGGAACAAAATAAACAGGAGTTTTGTGGCCTCAGATAGATTTTTTTTTTTTTGGTTTTTTTTTTTTGTATTCAATATTATTTTATAATAATATCTCACAGACAGATATTATATGTATAATTTATATATTTTAAAAATATATTATTTTTTTTCCCCATAGAAACACCAATTTCCTGCATTTAAATTTTGTATAGAGAATATTAGTAATACTGGTTTCTCTTGTAGTTTTCTTATATCTGCTACAATTAGTGTGGTAATTCATCTGACAGAAAGCTCAGTTTTAGTAGGACATCAATCAAGCGTCTCCATCAAACTGCCCATTCCTCTTCACTTTACTCCAGCTAGTTATTAGTCTCTCTATTTTTGGCTATTCAATTCATTTTGACCAACCCCTTTGTTCAAATTATAGATTGTCCTGTCAGTTTATTGTCTTATTTACAATTCTATAAAAACTGCAAAACCACAAACAATACCGAAGACATGGGGAATATAAGACTAAACGCAGCAAAATGATCTGCAATCAGAGACTAAAAGAGATGATTCGCTGTACGATTTGATCATCTCACAAATCAATAGGCTAGTGTGGAAAACCTAGTAATTAACCAAAAAGGAGAGCTTATTGTCTGAGAATATAGATGAAGAGATGCACTGCAACAGATAAGCATAAAATATATAGACAAAGAGAAGGAGAAAGATTGTTTAGGCCACAGGAGTGAGCAGCTCTGTCTTTAATCTGCAGCAAGACTTTTGCTGGAATCCTGCACTAACGCCTCAGAGTTCATTTGTGGCTGGAGATTTATTCTTTCCATTAGATATTTCATTGGTTTATGCAGCCGTGTCTTCCTGCGAGGCTCATGTCTGTGTTGAGCTAGGGAATATAGTCATCATAACATTGTTTTTGCTGTTGCTGTTGTTGGTGTAGTGGTTTTGCCAGTTAAGAAGAAATACTAAATAAATGAGACCGATAAACCGATACCCTTCTTCCTGAAATCACCACAGCGCCACCCATAGGACTGTAATTTCCTTATTTGTCTGTCAGGTGTGTTCTAATGTCTCTAATGTAACCTAATTGATTTCCTTTCCAAACCTCTGTGTCCTTAGGTCTGCTGCTTTTCCTTTGACCCTCTCATTTCATTGAATGTGTGTGAATGTGAGTGATTGATTGGGGTAAAGCCAGAGGTTACTTATACCACACACTCAGCCAAAATCCCACTGGGCTCATAGAAGCTTCATCGTTTAGAAAAAAAAAATGGAAGAAAAAATCCTGCCCCTGACATATTTCTCATATACAGGGTCACAGTAATCTGTGTGTGTTTTATTGTAAAAGTATGTATTATAAAATGGGCCCATGTTTCTAAATTTACCAACAAAAATCTGAGATTTTGACCTTTTTAAGGATTTTCCCTTGCAGAGTTCTTTGCTGCTTTTTAACACAATTTTTTCATACAATCTAGTTGATCCAGAGAAACCAACTGATCCACAAACACACTCTGGCTGATTGTTATTGTGGTTATTGTGTTTTTTTTTAATAGTGGCTGGTTTGGTAGGTTTGTCTTCTACTCTCTGATTGGTTCTTTTGTTTTCAGACGAGGAGAAGGAGGTGGTGAAAGAAGAGGAGGAGCCTCTGACAGGTGAAGAAGAGGAAGAACGCCGCATTGCTGAGATGGGAAAACCAATGCTTGGAGATCACCCCAGAGTAGAGGTTATCATCGAGGAGTCCTATGAATTTAAGGTTTGTTATTATGGCTACATATTTCCCATGTGGGGAAAGTTCACATGGCACTAAACACCCTAAAAATTTAAATGATGAATGATATTGTAATGAAGTTTACGGCCCTTTGGCCGCCGGGAAGAAGGAGGCGGAGAACCGACGGAGCTTTAAAATGATTTATTAATAATAATGACGGCAGCTCCTCACGGAGACTGCCATTTAAATCAAAACAAACGGACGGCAGCTCCTCGCGGAGACTGCCGTCAAACTGAAAGCAAAAGTAAAATAACATGCCAGGGCCCGGTCCTTTCTCGGCTTCCTCTGCCATCGGTCCTCCTTTTATGGTCCAGAGCTCCTTCCGTGGGATCCGAGGCAGGTGCACACCGCACGTGTATCCACTCACGTGGTGGCCTCACCCCGTTCCCACGGCTCTCGGCCACGCCCCCTCGCCACAGATATACCGTTATTATCCACGTTGGTTATCATCTGTTGCTGCAATGTCAGTTATCCTTTAAAGTCACCATGAAATGAAAATATTATAAATGACACAACATTTATTACATAAAAAACATGTGCCCTCCTAATCTTTAATCAAAATGAGTATTTTTAGGATGACATGTTTATTGCATTAGCGAACAAATATGATTCTGTCAAATACTGACGAACAAATAAGTACCCAGATTAATTTGTTTACTTATTTAAGGTCACCCAAAAATGAACAAAATATTCAGCTGTAGTATTTACTTGTCAATTAGTTGTCGGAATTAAATGTCAGTCTAAACCACCATCGCTTCCTTTAATCTATAAAAAAGAAGATATTTAGAAAAATGTTTCTGCAATTAAAAAAAACTAAACTTAAATGAATATATATATATATATATATATATATATATATATATATATATATATATATATATATATATATATATATATATATATATATATAAATACTTTTTTTAAAATGTAAATAAAACCTGACAAATATTTTTAACTTTTGGGAGAAGCCTGTGTCTTTTCTGGTCAAAACAAAAAACTTGATTGAGGTATAAATAATTTCGGACTTGACTTTGTGTGTGTGTGTGGGTTGGGGGGTGTTTATAAATATATATAAATATATATACTGGTGTAATGTAAATTTACTGGTGCTAATTATCACAATAAATAAAGTGTACCTTTTCAGTACATTAAGCCAATTATTACTATTTAAGACATTAAAATGCCATTTCAGTTATACTTACACTCACCGGCCACTTCATTAGGTCCATCTTACTAGTACCAGGTTGGACCCCCTTTTGCCTTTAGAGCTGCCTTAATCCTTCATGGCATAGATTTAGCAAGGTACTAGAAATATTCCTCAGAGTTTTTGTTCCATATTGATATGAAAGCATCATGCAGTTGCTGCAGATTTGCATGATTCTACTGTTCCACCACATCCCAAAGGTACTTTATTGGATTGAGTCTGGTGACTGTGGAGGCCATTTGAGAACAGCGAACTCATTGTCATGTTCAAGAAACAAGTCTGAGATGATTCACGCTTTTTGACATGGTGCGTTATCCTGCTGGAAGTAGCCATCAGAAGATGGGTACACTGTGGTCATAAAGGAATGGATATGGTTGTCAACAATACTCAATTAGGCTATGGTGTTGTCACAATGCTTAATTAGTACTAATGGGCCCAATATGTGCCAAGAAAATATCCCTCACACCATTACAGCACCACCAGCCTGAACCATTGATACAAGGCAGGATAGATCTATGTTTTCATGTTGTTGATGCCAAATTCTGACCCTACCATCCGAATGTCTTAGCAGAAATCGAGACTCATTAGACCAGGCAAAGTTTTTCTTGCTTCTATTTTCCAATTCTGGTGAGCCTGTGCAAATTATAGCCTCAGTTTCCTGTTCTAAGCTGACAGGATTGGCACCTGGTGTGGTCTTCTGCTGCTGTAGCCCATCTACCTCAAGGTTGGACCTGCTGTGCATTCAGAGATGCTCTTCTGCATACCTCGGTAGTAACTAGTGGCTCGGTTGTAACGAGTCACTGTTGTCTTTCAGTTAACTACACCAGTCTGGCCATTCTCCTCTGACCTCTGGCATCAACAAGGCATTTGCACCCACAGAACTGCCGCTTACTAGATATTTTCTTTTTTTCAGACCATTCTCTGTAAACCCTGGAGATGGTTGTGCATGAACATCCTAGTCTGTATGACTTTGAATCCTGAGTATTTCTGAAATGTGTATTATTTGCTCTTTTCTTGCAATTGTTTAATTACTCGCAGATATTCAATTTAGCTTTATTGACTTTTATTGACAATAGTTACTAGGATTTACCCATTCCTCACAATGAGTTACTAGATCACTTTAACTTTATACGATAGGTCAGATACAGTATGAATTAGAATATTTCATATCAAGATGCCAGTTTTTTTTTTTTTATGTAAAAACATTTTTTTTGTTTCTGGTAGAAGCAAGACACCCTCATTCTGTCAGGGAAGTTCAAGGATCTTAAACATTGGCATGTCATCGGTCGCCTCCACACACTTCAGGACGATGCACATGTATACGCATGCACTTTAGCCCACACACTTACCACGCTGAGACACACACACACTCTGATCCCACACACACTTAACAGCAAGGCAGACCAGGGAGCAGTCAGAAGCGCTCTGAACGGTGGTCCACCTTGTCTGAAGTGTGTTTATGTTTGTTTGTTCCTGATCTCAGTTGCACTGCGCAGTAATGAAGCGGTCATCCATTCTCTTTGTTTGCTCTCTCTGTTTCCTCTACAGAACACCGTTGATAAGCTGATTAAAAAGACAAACTTGGCTCTTCTGGTTGGCACCAACAGCTGGAGGGACCAGTTTATTGAGGCCATTACGGTCAGCGCTGGTGAGTATCTCGGACTGTGTGTGCGGAGGACTGTTTTTCTGTTATAGCAAAAAAAAATTCATCAAGGACTGATGTTAAGGACAGCATTTAGCTTAAACCTGCAATAATTCACCTGCCTGGGAGGTTCAAGTAATTAGAGGTAATCAAGTAATTTGGTTTGAACCTCTCCAGGAGAAAGATTAGACATCCCCGGGTTATATTGATTGCATCAAATGTTTTGTTTATTGTTTCCACACGAAATGTCAAAAGCATTATTCTTTGGTACTATTTTTAAAAACAAAATAATTTTTTGAATGCTAACTCAAGTTGACTACCTAAAAACCAATGGTGTCAACCAATGTAGTATCAATGGGGGGAGAGAGGGGGGGAGGGTTATAGGGTTAGTTTTGTAAGATCAGTTTTCAGATTGACCCGATCCAGAAGAAAAATCTTTTAGTGTATCAGATGTCTACTAATTTCCAGATATTAGTACATACTAAAACAAAGTAGTTTTAGTAGATATTAAACAAGGCATTAGTGTCATGGGATGTTTGGGTTGTCTATAATTATTTAGGATTTGTTGCTTCACACCTCTTTCAGTGTGGACATTATTAAAAATTCTTATAGAGTCTTTTTGTAGATGTGGCATAATACCATGTCTTAAAGTCATGACCTTTAGTATGAACAACATTGGGTTTGAAAATTATTTTGTGATGCAAATGTACTACTTGTGCAGTGTTGTCATTGTTATGGTAACTGCCATCATCTTTGGGTCACTTTAATGCCATTCCTCTCCTGTGCCATGGGATAGTAAAGTGTTCCTCGGATGTACATTTAAGAATCCTGGAATCTTTTAGGTACTTTTTCAAGTGTTACTCACTGCTGAGGCACATGGGCAGAGCTGAGCTCCAGCAAGGAGGAGCTTGAGGCCCCATTAACACTAATCGTTTACACGAATACGTTTTAATTTTAAAATGCATTATTTTTGCTACCGTCCACACTCCCACAGAGTGTTTGAGCCCTGAAAATTGAGCTTTTTGGTAACGCTTTTGGTTTTAAAACGCTGCTGCTCCATGTTAGTATGGGTGGAGGAAAACAGAGACATCTGAAAACGGAAGGCGTGGCTGCAAAAATTCGACTATCTGTTTGGGGCTTTTTTCAATATTGAATAGCCTACACAAAGTTCAGTCCTGCACCCTTTCCTTGTAAGTCCAGACTTTGCAAGTTTGATATGGAAAACTCTCGAGTCTTCTTCACTGTATGCACATTTGTAACAAAACAGAGCCTATAGCATAACTGCCTTCTTACATTTCCAGTGAATAATGTGAAACATACCCTCTCGATTGCTGAATATCAGTTTTAATAATCAATATTGGCCATTATAAAAGTATAAAGTACAATAAGCTTATACAATATAAGAAATAAAAGCAAGCAATCAGTCAATATGTAGAAGCAGTGTACGTGGTTACATAAATTCATATATTAACTTATCTTTGCACTCAACCAAAACACGTTACCTGAGAACATATAGATTCAAAAGAATAGATTTAAAAGATGTCGCTAGATAGAGACAAGATGAATTAGATATCACATTTAACAAATATAGTGTGATGAGATCCAGTGGTAGATCCTTGATGAACCATCCTATGTGCTCAAAGCACCTGAAGACTGCCTTGAGCTCAGACGCGCACATACGCTGCAGTGCATGCCAGAGTGTGTGTGTGTGGTCATGTCATGTGCGTTTTCAGTGGTGTAGTGTGGACGAAGAGCTGTTCAGAAATGCTAGATGAAATGCCAGTAAAGACGTGGATCGTTTTCAATCTAAATCGTTGTTTTAAAACTTGCGTATTAGTGGAAACTGGGCCTGAGTTTCATCTTCTCCTTGCTGAGCTTCTTCTACAAGTGATGTCACTAGAGGTTGGGGTTAAAGGCAGAGTAGATGTACGAAATAAAGCAGCTTATGGAAGGTGGAGGTGGAGCTCAGTTCCACCCACGTGGCTCTGCACCGAGCACCTTCTATAATTTTTCTCTAATATTGAGTCAATAAATTCGGATGTACTACTCAACTCACATGTTGTTTTCTATTTATATAGTAAGCATGCAGATACAGATGCAAGGTTAAAAGTTAAAGGTGTGTTTTTGCAGCAGATGCCATAGAAAATAAAATGTTCTCCAAAAATCCTTATACTGAACAGTTAAATTTTGTATCAAGAAACCTGTTTTTTTTTTGTTTTTGTTTTTTTGTTTTTTTGTTTTTTTTTTTGTTTGTTTGTTTTTTTGTTTTTGTAGTTGAAGCATTGGTTCTCTGTGATGTCCAAATAAGGGCATCTTCACTTTGAGAGTGAATAAATGCATACAGGCAAAACAAAAGTAATTCCAATGACTCCTCACAATACATTGAGGTCTTATGAAGCATGATTTTTGTCTGGTTTATAGAAAAAAAAACTGAACATTCTTTACAACAACATTACCTTAAACCACAAATTACAAAAAAAATCCTTGAGTATAAGTTTTTTGTCTCATTGTCTCATGTCTTACAATGTAAAGGAATGATTGTGCATGTTGTATTGTTATGTGATAGGTTGCGTGCACCATTAAAATACGCCTTTAAGAGTATGTGTAAATCTATCCCTGCTGTAGTTTTTACAACCTCATCTCACTTTGACACTTACAGCTGTGCGAAGAAAGTAGATGAAGGCAAAGAGAAAAACGAGAGAGGGGACTTTTTTTGGTTTGTTTTCTCTGAAGTAATTAGCACTCGCAGCACGACCTCAGAGAGACTGATGATCATAGAGACTGCAGCTCTAGCCGTGTGTGTGTGTGTGTGTGTGTGTGTGTGTGTGTGTGTGTGTGTGTGTGTGTGTGTGTGTGTGTGTGTGTGTGTGTGTGTGTGTGTGTGTGTGTGTGGATCAGGTGTGGGGACTTAGTGATTCACACATGAACACCTCTCAGTGTGCCAATTTGTGCTCTGGGGCAAAGCAAGGTTAAAAGCCTCTGTGTATGTGTGTGTGTTGCTCTATTTGCTGTTAGAACTGACCTGTAATCACCAGTGCACTACTGCTAGGCATAGACTGCTGTAACACTAAAGCCCCATTCACACCAGGAATAACTAAAAAATAAACATGTAATTTAAACAATTGTTGTAGATTTAATAAAATAATGGACACATAAAGTTAATGAAAAAAAAAAACATTGAATGCCAATTGGAATTTGTCCTGCTTCAAAGAGCTTAAGCATTTAAAGCAGATAAGTACAACTAATAAAGTTATAGTTGTTGTCATAGACACTATTCTTGTTGTAAAGATCAATATTTCACTCAAAAATGAAGATTTTCTGTTCAAATATTCACCCTATTTTTCATCTGTTTTCAAAAGAAACCAGAAAGATTCAGAAAATGTGAGTCAGTGGCTGTCGACACTTTTTATATTTTAACAATCTTTGCAATGCTGCAAAAGTCCATGGCACAAAAGCATTAAGGGTGTGTAAGAATCCACTTTGGCTATTTTAAGGATGTCAAGATATGCTCTGCACACTGCGCATGGTCTAACAGGGTTAAGAGTCAGTTGTGTCGCGTCATTGCGCATTTGCTAATTATATGGTGGAAGAGGAAAAACTCAATGGAAAAACTCAATGCTTTACTAGCGAGAAAACGGTTACAAAAAATTAATTTACTTTCTCTTTACTTTTACTGTACTTAACTTCTTTACTTTCTTATACTAAGGAAATCCGTTAATCTACATATTTAATTTAATTTGTTAAGTGTAAAGATTTGTTATGGTTAGGGTTAGTCAAACTATTTCTAAATTTAGTTCTAATGCCAGCAAATGAATATATGAACAATAATAACGAAGTGTGCACAGAAAGGTTGGAGTTATATCCAAATACACATACCATTCTTATGCCCCATATAGTGATGTAGACATATCCAGAACCCAACAGATGGAAAAAACTAACATACATAAATATTAATATAATAAATAATACTGATAATAATAATAATAACATTATACAACTGCAAATTGTCATGAATAAACCAAAAATAGTCCCATGGATATGAAGAAGGCATGGAGGCAGCGTTTTTAATTTTAATGTAGTACATAATAACTTTTGTAACATTTTAATTCTTTAATTTCTTTCATATGTTAAGATATTTGTTTATTTCTGTGCATCCTGTTTGTGATAAGCGTTTAAACCTGCATAGGCGCATAACTATGGTGTTCTGAGGCGAATAACTAAGGTGCTCTTTAGACCTGCTTTTACTTGGTCAATGGCCTATTTTTATACTAATGGTCTATTTTAGTTTTTGGAAATAGCAACGCACCAACAATGCACCTTAACACACCACCTTTTTAGAGCAGAACACCCAAATCTAAGTTGTGCAAATGGATTTGCTATTAAAACTACATGGCATTGGTTTGAAAATAGCAATAAATAGCACCAAACTCATCTTGACTTTATTTCTTCATCTGTTTTTAACAGATCTTTTATGAATCAGAAAACCTCAATGTCAATGGCTGATGACACTTTTAGAGTCAGAAAAACATGTACAGACAAAACAAAAGTAATACATTTGGCTCCTGACAATACATTGATGTCTTAAGGAGTGGAAATAGACATTATTTACAAAATGATTAATTGTAATGTGTCAGGCCAGGTTTGCAATTCGCCACTCGGTGCACATGGCATACGCTTATTATTTTATTGTGTTTTTGTTATTTTTGAATCATAAATTTTCATTCTTAAAAAAGGCAGTCTGACTTGCATTAATATTAAATTCCTAACTGATATCATTAATAGATGACCAGTGGAAAACTTTTTTATCTAACCCCACTGAGGAAAGAACAGATTTTTCCATTACTTTTTATTAGGACACACAGACGCACATGCATACATATACACAAAAGTACACAGATAGAGACAAATAAGCGGAAAAGGTCTGCAGCTAATGGCAGTAAATTGAAGAGTTGCGAGTTTAAAAGCTTTGCTAAATGTCAGCCTCTGCAGCACAGCGAGATGATTTATTTTGAAAGATAAGAAGAGAGTCAACACAGCATGAGCATGACTTTTTGTGTGTGTGTGTGTGTGTGTGTGTGTGTGTGTGTGTGTGTGTGTGTGTGTGTGTGTGTGTGTGTGTGTGTGTGTGTGTGTGTGTGTGTGTGTGTGTGTGTGTGTGTGTGTGTGTGTGTGTGTGTGGAAGTTTACTTATCTATGGATTGGGCAAATAATTGTCCCCACGTGACACAACCTCCCATTTGAGATATCTGGGGACTTCCTTTATTGGGGAAAATGGCTCATAAAGCATTTTATTCTATAAATAATTAATAATAAATAAACAGACAAAAAATAAAAGGGAAGTTGGAAGCAGAAAATAGAAATGTTTTCTTTGCAGCTAACATATATATGTTTTGGTTATAGAAATTTTCGCCCTGCAAGAGCCAAACCAGGTTTTAAAATTTGATCAACTCGAGGTATTAACAAGGAATCTGATCACTATGATGAAGGATACTTTATGTTGGAATTTCAAATAAGCACTTTTTCAAATATTTGCAATTGTGTAGTTTTATTATGTCAAAACAAGATCACCATTTGACTTTCTATTTTGGAAAATATTACACTTAACTGTTTAAAAGGTAGAGGCCAAGTTTCTGTTTTATATAAACAGTTGGTGGACAAATCAAAAGAGTCATTTAATGACAGCCTTCAAGTTTGGCAGTCTGACCTGCAGGCTGATATAACTGAGGACCAGTGGCTAGAAGCTTATCTAAAAGCCTAAACACAGACAACAAGCACTTTTAGATTGCTTCAATATAATTGCTGAGTACACAGTATGTAACTCAACTTAAGTTGCGTCATTTTAACCCAAATTCAACTGATCCATGGTATTAATGCAAGCAAGAGAAGGTAACTTTATTTCATTGTATGTGGGAGTGCTCTAAAGTCAGTTGTTTTTGGGTTAAAATACTGAATATTGTCAAATCATTGGTAAAGTAATTCCTCTTGATCCCAGCTTGTGTATACTGCATATTTGTCCATTGAACTTTGATGTGATCAAATATGAAATATTGCAGTTAATTTTATGTTAGCTGGAAGCCAAACATGTAATTGCATGTTCTTGGAAAAATAAAGACAGTCCTGGTGTTTCTCAGTGGATAAAGGGGATGATGTCTTGCCTTACCTTAGAAAAGATAACATATTTTTTTGAAAAACAAAATTAATCTATTTTGGTTTATTTGGAAAATATTCTAGGACTTTTTGGAAAATCTAGATGGGGACTCTTTTCTTGAACTGATAGAAATTGAAAGTATATAGATTAAACGTGTTATTGCTGTATCATTTATTATTAAATTTTGTATTTATTTAATTTTCTTTTTTCTTTCAAAGTATGTTAAGTTATTTTAAATCAATATTATCTTTGCTGTATTTTTGTTTAATTATGTAATTATTAATATATAATAATATTATATAGTTTTATTATATATTGTATAATTTTATTTTATTTTGTTGCTAAACTAAAAAATTAATGCCTCATAGGTGAATTGAACAACCTAAATTGTCTTTAGTGTATGAGTGTGTGTAAATGAGGTTGTATGGGTGATTCCTAGTACAGGGTTGTGGCTGGAAGGGCCTCTGCTGTAAAACACAGCAGGACTAGTTGGTGGTTTATTCCACTGGGACAACCTCTGAAATAGAGACTAAGCCAAAGGAAAATGAATGAATGAATAATAAAAATAAAAAAAACACATACAATTGCTAAAAAATCAAATATTAAATGTAAATGCAGAGTTAAAATATACATATTTTAATACAGTGGATTTAATGTAACACATTTAAGTTCAGTTTTTCAATATGATGAGTTCAGATGCAAAAACCTTTAAGTGCCATCTGGAATTTTCCTCTACAATGAGCACTTTTCTCAGCCTCTTATGTTTATGTTCAGTTATTTCATGCTAAAAGCAATAAAAATAACCTATTATTTGCCATAAAAGTGAAATTACTGAACATAGGACATAGGAGCCTGAGAAAAATGCTAATATTAAAAGAAATTTCAGGTGGCACTGAGGTTTTTGCATCTGAACTCTTCATATATACATTTAGCATAAATGGGGAGTTTTATTTATTGCATTACATTAGTATTTACAATCCATTTATGTGTTAATGTCTGTTACAGACCTGGAAATCAAATTTCCAACTTAAACCATTGTAAATATTGAATTCATTTGGAGTACTCTCCCTTTTTTGAAAGACCCTTGGTGGTTTATTGTTTTAAAAAATGCACAAACACACTTTCCATTCCACTTTCCACCTTTTTTAGTTTTTATGTGAACTATATTTACCAAACTGTAAGAATGCCAAACTGTTCTTAAGACTTCTATGGGGCATTTTCACCCTTCAGACACTCACAGCATAAAAACCATGCCATTGATCTTATCTATCTGTTTTATTCCAAATATGCTTGTTTATACACATTTATAGCAGTAAAGTAAACATCATCATGACCTTCAAACACTCTTGGACTGTCATAAAAAAGACCAACGAACACCCATGCAGATCAGCTCACATTTGTGACTGAATCTTGAGGATCTTCAAAGCTCAAGTTCTCTCTTATGTAATCTTTCTGATCTGATAGTTTCGAGGATTTTCAGTTTTAAGTACCGAGTGTCTGTATGAGTTTCTTCTCTATCAGTAATCCTTTTAATCACAATGTGCAATCAGGTTTTATGCCAGTGATTAGAATGTGTTAGTAAAACAATGTTTAATTCTGCTGCAGCACTAAATAGATGAGATTTCCAAACATCCCAAAGCATCTAATCTCGGTTTAAAGGAAGAGCCTCACCTGTCAGAGAGCAGTGTGTGAGTTTGTGTAAACTGCTCTCAAGGAAATGCAGCACCAATAGAATAGCAAACAGATTATAGCCTCACTCAACACACATGCATACACATTACACACACACTTACTCACTCAACAACATTGTGTGTGTGTGTGTGTGTGTGTGTGTGTGTGTGTGTGTGTGTGTGTGTGTGTGTGTGTGTGTGTGTGTGTGTGTGTGTGGTGGGTAGTTAGTTGTCATAAGGCTGTTGTTTGGTTAATAATGTAATCAGTGTGATCACAGGTAAAAGTGTGTTCCTAGGGTCTTATAGGGGGTTTCCTGGATGCTTGCTAGAGAATTGCTCGAGGAGGAGAAAAAATAATTTGCTTTACATTTTACTACAAAAACACTTGGTTTTAACAAAAATAACCCATAGAATTTTACTGATAACCTGTTGTATAAATAAATTAATCAAATTAATCAATAATTACATTATCAATAACACTGGTGGTGCTGTGTTATTAGTATAAAGCGGTCAATACACTATAAAAATAAACAATTACTTTTGGGATAAACTTGTTCAATAAATGTTTGAATTTGTTTCGTTTGTTGATCTCAAAAGAATATATTTTGAAGAATGTTAGGAAGCAGCATTCCAGCTGGTTGTTGGAGACCCCCAAAACAAAATATGGTCTTTTTAATGCATAATAGGGGCTCTTTAAAACACTTCCTTTGTGTTCGACAAAAGAAAGAAACTCAAATGTATTTGGAACCACTTGAGGTTAAGTCCATTTTCATTTTTGGGTGAACTATGCCTTGAATATTCAAAGTAGTGACTCATTCCCTCTTTTGTTTGATTAACATTATTGATCTAATGTAATGTTACACATCTCATTTTTCATCTAACTAGGTGTAGCTAGTATGTGCTAATGTTTCCAGGGGGTTGTTGTGGTATTCTGGACAGTTGCTTAAGTTTTCTTGACATTTTTTCAACAATTTTATGTTAGTTACTATGCATTTGCTAAAGTGTTCTGGATAGAAGTTAGAATAAATGCCTTTAAGTGGCTTCCTAATGAGTTGCTAACATATGCTGATCAAAGGTGTTCTGCCTAGTTGCTAGGCTGTTTTGGTTGTTTTATATTTATTGCTATGCATTTGCTACGGTGTTCAGTATTCTGGATTGCTCCCATGTAGTGGCTCAGGTGCCAGGTGACTTCTTATTAGCTCAACTTTTATATTTTTCTAGATGAACATTGTAATTAATTTCACTTAGGAAAGTAATTGCACATATTTTTAAAAGAACATAATAATTATTATTATTTCCATGGCACAGGATGATTCATGTGGCAGATTGTAACACTCAGGTGTTTATTCACCTTGCATAAGGTCATATTTAATGATTCTCTTTATCATGCTCCTGCAGGTGAGGATGATGATGATGAAGAATGTGGAGAAGAGAAGCTTCCCTCCTGCTTCGATTATGTCATGCATTTCCTAACCGTCTTCTGGAAAGTTCTCTTTGCTTTCGTGCCACCCACCGACTATTGGAACGGTTGGGCGTGTTTCGTGGTGTCAATCATTATGATTGGCGTCCTGACGGCTTTTATCGGTGACCTGGCATCTCATTTCGGCTGCACCATCGGTCTCAAAGACTCAGTCACAGCAGTGGTGTTTGTGGCACTGGGCACTTCAGTACCAGGTGAGAAACATGTACACCTGCCAGTGATTTTTGCATTTCAGCCACCCATATTTATATTTACATACAGTCATTTATCACAGAAAGAGGATGTCCAAGAGCTTGTGCATGCATGTGTGTGAGAATGTGAGTGTGCAGGGCTATGATTATGATATATCATATAATTATGCAGAGTAAAGCTGCTTGCTACAATGCACCCCCATATATTACCTTCATCAGTCATGATAACTGTTATTTAAAACAGGACACACATACCGCATGTACAGAAGACTCTTCCTCTCTCACACACACACACACACACACACACACACACACACACATACACACACACACACACACACACGCATGTTAAATAGATTGAGTCTGCTGGAAGTGCAATGCATGTTCACCATGTTTAGTATTCCAGACACACTGGACTGCTCATCGAGAAAATGCTGAGAGAGCAGAAAGTACAAGCATTCCCATCTTTCTCTCTCTCTCTCTTTCTCTAATTCACTTCTTCTCCCTCTTTACCTCACTCACTTCATTTCTTTCCTTTTCATCCTCCATTTCTCGCCCTTTTGCTCTCCTCATCTCACTGCAGGAACTCATTTCCTTGCATTTGCGTCATGCTTTCCAGTAAAAGTCAGTTTACGTGGACAAAAGAAGATGTTATTTTGATCATCTGTATTTTCTCAAAGTATGCCTAAAGGGATATTTCCCTTTTTTTGTCTGTATACAAGGAATATCAAAGGTCTAAAACACTCTTGATCTTTTCGTCTAAATACAAGGAATATCAGAGGTATCTAAAACACTATTGGACTTTGTTTTGTTTGTTTCACTCAGTACGAAAAGGCCATAAAGGTTTGTAGGCAGGTCAGTCAGTGATGACATTTTCATTTTTAGATAAACAGACTGTTCTCAGATTTTTTATGACCCCAATTTATAATTTAATAGAGGAAGAAACATTAATTAAATATTGATTGAGCACAACTTTTTGTGTAAAAGAGGATTATTGAAAAATTTCAAGCAGTGTCCCATTTTTCATGTTTATTCCCCTCATTTATAGCATTTCATAACTGCATCTTATAAAAAATTGTCTCTATTATTTCTTGCAACAAATCAATTCCCCTGCTATTATCCAACACAGTTTGAGGAAGTTAGTGCTGTCACCATATGCCAGTATTGACTATAACTGTGATACTTCAAAAATGAAATATTGATATAGCCTTTTTATAGGTGTCACAAAAGGCATTTGTTTTTAAAGCTAAAGAAGTATATTCAAATTGTGTGTGTACTTTAACATTAAAGTACATCCTTCAAAAGACTTGTACTCCATTAAATAGTGTGATTTATGATCGATAAAAATTACAAGGTTAGTTTAAAATAAAGTTGTAGATATATTTTAATTATATGCACTTGTCAGCATACAGATGTCTGTTGTACTGTTGTGCTGATGATGAAAGTTATATCATGCACACTGTACACATAGCATAGCAATCATGTTAAAATCAAAGTATTATTTAAACTAAATCCTGATGCTAAAATTGAGTGCTACATGATTTTTTTTATATCCAGTCATAGTCTGTAATGTCAGACATTGCTGTTTGTGGTGCATGAGCTGAAGATGAATGAACAGCACTCCTCAGTAACACTCTGTGCCACAAGGTTAATTAACTCACCCAAACAGATTCTACATGAGATGAATCACATTTATACTAAACATAAACATCATATTACAACTTACATCTGCACACAAAAAGATGCAGATTAAACCCAAGAATTCTTTTAACCCTGGAGGCCTTTAGACGCATTGTACCTCAGCTTAAATTGATTGCTAATATACAGAAAACATTAAACTATAATTATACTTTGGTGGAAAAACTGCAGGATTTGTATGCTGCTTTTTTGTTGCCATATTTATATAATTACAATGCAAATTTATAATTTTGCTAAACCATATTGCACATCAAGCAAAGTTACTGGCCAACTGGCACCATTTCATATACTCGCCAACACTGATTTTCACTTGCAGTTGGTGCTTGGCAAGTGATAATTTTAGTCCCTGAATATAAGGTGAAAAATATACAATCTGTGGTAAGATGCATGTATACATGTTGATGATATACACTGCTTCTTAGCATAAATGAGTACACTGCTCACTGCGTATATTTTCTGTAGGATGCTTTATTATAATATATTTGTGCATATACATTATATTAGTACCTAAGACAAAGCTAGAATTAATCTAAAAAAAAAACTTAAGATTGAAGTAGAAGAATGACTGCACCCAAAGTAATATTTTGGGAAAAAATGTTAAATAAAAATATAAATAAACAGGAAAAATCAAGACAAACCTAAAAAATACAACATTTTGTAGTTTGAAGTTCACCATGTTTCTATAAGAACATGTATACACATGTCCACAGAACATTTTTTTACAAATAAACTAGGATTAAAATATTTGTTTCAATTCTCTGTGATTTTTAGATGTGATTTTTCTAAGTTTAAACCGTTTGTAAAACGGAGCATGTTTGTAATAAAAACAGTAAAATTGATATCTAATTCTTAACCATTATAATCACCATGGTCGCATAGTGTTAGTAAATGCTAGTGTGTGTGTGTGTGCGCGTGCAAACAGCATTTGTGTGAGACTCATCATTTCAGAAAGGCTTGAATAAACTCCACCACAAATACATCAAATGGTATTTTTGATAAAGAGCTGTATTTCAGCTTCATCCAAGTCTGTACCTGTCACTGACTGCTGATTAGCTGAAGTAGTCATATCGCATGATGAGAAGCAGACATGCACGTGAGAATCGTAGGCAGGGAAAAGCAGCTCACTTGGATTTGAAGTCACAGCCTACAAAAACAGCTACACTGTACTCGGACACCAAAATGGGCAGATTCTGGAGGCTATATTAAATAAGCTGATGGGTATTTTAAGCTAAAACTTTACAGATCTATTCTGGAGACACCAAAGGCTTTTCTTACATCTTGTAAAATGGGGTAAATAGGTGCTCTTTATATATGTTTAATAAAAGAGTTTTGTCTAAATGCTCCAAAAGTATTGGCTAAATTCGCTGGGAAATAACTAAAAATTTTCATATTCAAAAGAGGATGTACTCATTTATGCTGAGCACTGTAAGAGTAATTACATTTATGTTTAATTGATCTGCCTAACATAATAAAAGACCCAATTTGACCTTATATTTACAGATGGGTTTTTGTAGGAAGTATTACTAATAAATAAATGATATTTAATTGTATTTATTTATATGGTATTGGTAAAGTCAAAAACTCTGATTCATTTTAACAAATACAGTGATGTACTTACACCCGTTACTGGTAACAGGCCAAAATAGGGTCAATAGTGAGGTAAATGAAGCAAACTTGAAAAATCGTTTCACTGAAAGATTTACAATCGCAACTGATTGTTCTTCTGCTACTTTTGCACTAACTCTGGTCCTGCTTAACAAAAAACATTGTGGTACTTACACTTTGTACTAGAAATAGGTCAAAAAGGTCAAAAGTAATGTAAGTGAAGCAAACTTGAAAAACTGTTCCACTGAATGGTTTACAATCGCCCCCCATTGATTGTTTTTCTGCTGCGTCTGCACAGTTTGACAAAATGACAAATGCTGCACACAAACAGAGCGTTATTGAGCAGTTAGCGAGCGTGTCAATCTGTATACTGAGAGATGAAAGCCAGTATTACTGAGAAAACAACTGAACTTCCAATTAGCCAAACGCACAGACAGAAAGCAGACGAAGGAAGTGTTGCTCACTGATAAGACAACATTCGACAGAGCTTCTGAACTCAAAACAAAGTCCTTAGATTCAGTGCATAGTTTGAGGATCTTATAATTAATTGCTTGATTAATTTAAAATGGAAATGGGTTTGATGATTGACGTACATCTTCTAGATGCGGTTCTGCTAATGTCTTGTAATTATAATGATTTTTTTATTCTAGATTAAATGTTTTTGGCTCACACTGTATTTTACAGAGCAGACATGCATCGAGTGTTTTCCTGAGCCACACTTTATACTTGATAAAGTACTATAGTGTGTACATAATTATTATGCAAGTTGATGCTCTGATCATATTTATTCCCCCAAGCATGTTTTACCATTTCCAAAACTACATCATGCTTAATAACCATTCAGATTAGCATATTTATTAAAGGTGCTGTTTGTAAGTTTTTGACTTTTCTAAATCATAGAAATACCATAATATGATTGGAGTTATTTAAGAAACATGCTAACTAAGCATTCCTGTGTATATCTGAAAAACAATGCGTAAGTCAGTTATTCTGCTTTGAAAATATGTGTTGTGTGCCAGAACGCCTGTCTATGTTTTGGTCCCTTTAACCTATCCAATGCCAGTTTAGCCAATTATATTCCAGCACCCCAGGTTGCCTGGGTGGAGTTCCACATAAGGTTCTTATTAATTAGCAAATAATATAAATATTACGAACGTAAACCTTAGGTGAGCAGATTACATTGTAACCCTATGTATTAACAACATGCTGCGTGACGAGATTTGCAGTGAAAATCAATTTGGCTATTTGAACAAGACAAAACATGACAGAAATTTAAATACAGCCATTCAGAATCCCAGAATAGTGCACTCACTGCATTCCAACAAAATGGTAAAGTTAATAATCTAGTTAATACATATTAAACCTTTTTAACATTATTAAATGTACATGTTGAATCACTGATGTTTGTTGGTGTGCACTGAATCAGATCAATTTCTAATTATTATTTTATTTTCAAGATCTGAGGTCAACTATCTGCTGCTGCTTTCAGTTGTGTCATGTAAAAAACTGACATTATTAGCATTTAACACTGAATAAAACACATCAGGTGTACCTGAGGTGATCATTGTCAGTTTTCTGTTGTTCAGTTGCAAGAAATAGAAGCCCTTCATAAATTATAAATTTCAGGTTTTTGTTAGAACAAAAGCCCCTTTTAATATGAAAATTATTTCTTCTATCATGTGCTATCTTTTGCTTTTATT